TTTGTGGCGTTTTGTGTTGTTGTAAATGTGCTAGACATTGACATTGACAAGATACTGTTTATTACGTACAATTAAAGGTCTATAGGAGGATTTTCCCAAATTTTAAGAAAGAACCGCCCTCTCCACTTTTTGACCTAAACTCTCTGGTCTTATTGGACGAGCACGTATCACCAGAATGATTGACATTTGTGTGGACCAATAGTCTTGATGATCGACCCGGAACTAAATTACAGTGCCATGATTGAGCTTCTTAGGAAAAAACCTCTGGCTCCTAAAGAGTTAAACTTTTCCCAAAACACATTTCCTGACTTAGCTTTAGCGCGTGAGTTCGAGGCGTACAGAAACTAGCCTCTGTCTCCACTCCTGTTTTGCGTGTAATCAATCAGTGGCGTTTCCTCCCTGGAGAATCGCCGCTTGTTATTACTATTAGGTTGCTGCGAGGCGTGTGTTCGCAGCCAGGGCCAGCTTTTTCCTGTCCGTCCGGGGGCTATTAGAGGAGACATGGTGAATAATGAACGTATACATGTGTTTGATGTTAGAGGAGTTGCAGTGTAGCGTGCGGAGACACAGCTGGGGACGGACACGCGCTAGCTAGAACCGCGGACGCCTTTTGATCGAGTGGTTTTCGGTGTTAATGTGGCATAAGAGAAAGAGAAGGGAACCATGTGGGACAAGGACAGGATGGGGACTCCAGCTCTGTCCAGGTTTGTCCAGGTTGGTCCGATCACAGAGCAGTTTCAGTGACAGACCGATCTACCCTCTCTGTGTGACGGAGAGGTTTCCCAGGTCTCTCCAAATTCCTGCTACTGTCAGACTGTGCAACGAACAATGAGGACTGACGAACACTGCCGACTGGACCTGTCTGTCTTAAAACATAGCATATTATTAAACATTAAAAAATGACTTCAGCTTCTGTTCAGTCCAGCCTCAGTCCAGGGTCTACAGCCTCAGTCCTGGGTCTACAGCCTCAGTCCTGGGTCTACAGCCTCAGTCCTGGGTCTACAGCCTCAGTCCTGGATCTACAGCCTCAGTCCAGGGTCTACAGCCTCAGCCCTGGATCTACAGTCTCAGTCCTGGATCTACAGTCTCAGTCCTGGATCTACAGTCTCAGTCCTGGATCTACAGCCTCAGTCCTGGATCTACAGTCTCAGTCCTGGATCTACAGCCTCAGTCCTGGGTCTACAGCCTCAGTCCTGGATCTACAGCCTCAGTCCTGGATCTACAGCCTCAGTCCAGGGTCTACAGCCTCAGTCCTGGATCTACAGCCTCAGTCCTGGATCTACAGCCTCAGTCCTGGATCTACAGCCTCAGTCCTGGATCTACAGCCTCAGTCCTGGATCTACAGCCTCAGTCCTGGATCTACAGCCTCAGTCCTGGATCTACAGCCTCAGTCCTGGATCTACAGCCTCAGTCCTGGATCTACAGCCTCAGTCCAGGGTCTACAGCCTCAGTCCTGGATCTACAGCCTCAGTCCTGGATCTACAGCCTCAGTCCTGGATCTACAGCCTCAGTCCTGGATCTACAGCCTCAGTCCTGGATCTACAGCCTCAGTCCAGGGTCTACAGCCTCAGTCCTGGGTCTACAGCCTCAGTCCTGGATCTACAGCCTCAGTCCTGGATCTACAGCCTCAGTCCTGGATCTACAGCCTCAGTCCTGGATCTACAGCCTCAGTCCTGGATCTACAGCCTCAGTCCTGGGTCTACAGCCTCAGTCCTGGGTCTACAGTCTGTCTGAACATAGGAGCCAATCCCTCTCTCAATTTGGGGCTCCCTGAGGTTTCTCACTCTTTTTCCCCACTGAGTCGTTCCTTGCCGATGCAGGAGGGTCTAAGGACAGTTATGATCTGGGTCAAAAATAGAAGAAAAATAGGGTTTGGAGCCACTGTATAATAAGTATTTCTTCACTCCTTTTAATGTACAATGCTTATTTATGAGTTGCTTTGTGTATGAACTGTGCTCGACAAATAAACTTGCCTGTATGGACATCCAGAGGAGCCCTCCCCTCCTCTCTTACTCATGTAATTCTTTCTGACTGCCTTAAAACTCCACTAAAGACCTCATGAAATTGGCCTCACACACCCTCAGGTCCGTGCGTGTTCTTGATCACGCTGGCTCTCTCTGATTGGGGTTCTGGAACATGGCAGGAGTTAAGATGGCGGCGGGTTTGGGGGGGGGGGGGTCGGAGGGGTGTTGTGGGGGGGACAAGCCTCAGCTGTACTTGATCCTCTCCCTTCACTTCAGCCTGAGCAGAGCCTCCTCCTCGCTGCACACACAACACTGGTGCGAGCCCGCCCTCTGCTGGTGGGGCAGAAAAGATATGAATGTGCACTTTATCTACCCCATATGGAAATGTTATAATAATAAGAAGAAATAATGCATTGGTTTTATACAGCACTTTTCAGGACACTCAAAGGCGCTTCACATGTCATTATTCATTCACTCTATACACAGTGGTGATAAACTATAAGTGTGGCCACAGCTGCCCTGGGACACACTGACAGAAGCGAGGCAACCAGTCTGTGCCATCAGCTCCTTCGACCACCACCAACCACTCACACACACACCAGTCCTGACTGCTTTTAACTTTGTATTTAACTGTTTTTAATATGCACTTTTTTACTTGTATGCAGCTGGAAGCCAGTCCCTGTGCTCCTCAGAGTCCCAGCAGGAGGCCAGTCCCTGTGCTCCTCAGAGTCCCAGCAGGAGGCCAGTCCCTGTGCTCCTCAGAGTCCCAGCAGGAGGCCCGTCCCTGTGCTCCTCAGAGTCCCAGCAGGAGGCCCGTCCCTGTGCTCCTCAGAGTCCCAGCAGGAGGCCAGTCCCTGTGCTCCTCAGAGTCGCAGCAGGAGGCCAGTCCCTGTGCTCCTCAGAGTCCCAGCAGGAGGCCAGTCCCTGTGCTCCTCAGAGTCCCAGCAGGAGGCCAGTCCCTGTGCTCCTCAGAGTCCCAGCAGGAGGCCCGTCCCTGTGCTCCTCAGAGTCCCAGCAGGAGGCCAGTCCCTGTGCTCCTCAGAGTCGCAGCAGGAGGCCAGTCCCTGTGCTCCTCAGAGTCCCAACAGGAGGCCGGTCCCTGTGCTCCTCAGAGTTTGGTTGTTCTAATAAACCATGTTAAATAAACTAAAGCTGGGTACCTAAATCCTTATAACAAGTTCCTGGCTCTAAACAGTTTTCATAACCGTGTCTGTTGGGCCTCAGCTTAGATCAGATTTTTATCAGGTCTATTAAGTATTTTATTTCCTTTTAACCCTTCATGTTGTATTTTTGTACTTCTGATTATTTTGCTTTGTTTTGTTGTTCGTGGTTTTGTGTTTTCATCTGTAGCATAAAATGTATTATTATTACTATTATTTTTATTATTATTTTTCAGACAGAAAAGTGAAACCTTACCTCTGTGATCGGATTTGTTCACATTTTTACAAGACCCAGAGTTGGGACAATCATGGTCTCAGCTCAGAGAGAAGTCCGTGCTCAGTACTTTGTCTCCATCTAGTGGTGAAATGATGCAACTGCTTCTTTCAGGGACAGAGCTAAACATGAGCTATTCTCGTTTAGAATCATAGACTGAACACGGATGGACAATGCTAACCCGCTAACTTTATGAATCATGAATTGGGAAGTGCTCATAGAGAAGTTTTGCTCTACATTGACTCACATTAAAAGGTAAACTCCTCCATCATTGTCAATATGTTGGACTTAAAAAAATAAGTAGTTTGTGGCTTTGATTTTTGTGTATATTGTCTTTGTATATCTGTATGTGAGCCATAAGGATCGACCAATCAGAAGCCTTGCGTTAACTGTAAAATGTGAATAATGTCTTTTTTTTATGTAAGAAGCCCTTTTCTTCATTCCTCCTTTAATTTTTCTATGCAGAGACGCCCAGACTTCCCTATCCACACACACTTCCTCCAGCTCATCGCCGGGGATTCCTTCATCGTGTCTGTTTCTTCCAGGGTCTCCTCCCGGTGGGACGTGCCCAGAACAGGACTACTTTGCACAGCCCGAAATCACACCAGTATTATCTCAAGAGGACTTTACAAAACTGTTGAATTTTCTAACACAGATCAGAGAATCAAACAATTCAAACACAAGAAATTCAACGATGAAAAACACACAGAGCCGTCCATGAAACCTCTGAAAACCCAGATGGAGGAAAATGAGAAACTTTGGACAGTCTGTCGATCCAGGACTCTGGCTTTAGAACGAGGACCAAGACCACGCTCTTTGGGTAGAATCCTGCATTTCTCACTAATAATAATAATAATATAAAATACATCGGGTTTATATAGCGCTTTTCAAAAACGCAAAGACACTTCACAATTCAGGACACACACGTTTAGACAGACACACAAACATCAAAATAATAAACTAAAAGCAGTAAAGAAGGTACAAAGCTGAAACTAAGAGTCGTATGCTTGGAGGAAGCTGTTTTTGGAAGTTTAGTGAGTCCAAGTTCCAGAGATGAGGGGGGAGAGAGTTCCAGAGATGAGGGGGGAGAGAGTTCCAGAGATGAGGGGGGAGAGAGTTCCAGAGATGAGGGGGAGAGAGTTCCAGAGGTGAGGGGGGAGGAGAGTTCCAGAGATGAGAGGGGAGAGAGTTCCAGAGATGAGGGGAGGAGAGTATTCCAGGGGAGAGAGAGTTCCAGAGATGAGGGGGGAGAGAGAGGTCCAGAGATGAGGGGGAGAGAGTTCCAGAGATGAGGGGGGAGAGAGTTCCAGAGGTGAGGGGGAGAGAGTTCCAGAGATGAGGGGGAGAGAGTTCCAGAGATGAGGGGAGAGAGTTCAGAGATGAGGGGGTAGAGAGTTCCAGAGATGAGGGGGAGAGAGTTCCAGAGATGAGGGGGGAGAGAGTTCCAGAGATGAGGGGGGGAGAGAGTTCCAGAGATGAGGGGGGAGAGAGTTCCAGAGATGAGGGGGGGTTGAGAGAGTTCCAGAGGTGAGGGGGGAGAGAGTTCCAGAGATGAGGGGGAGAGAGTTCCAGAGATGAGGGGGGAGGGGAGAGTTCCAGAGGTGAGGGGGGGAGAGAGTTCCAGAGATGAGGGGGGAGAGAGTTCCAGAGATGAGGGGGGAGAGAGTTCCAGAGATGAGGGGGAGAGAGTTCCAGAGTGAGGGGGGAGAGAGTTCCAGAGATGAGGGGGAGAGAGTTCCAGAGATGAGGGGGAGAGAGTTCCAGAGATGAGGGGGAGAGAGTTCCAGAGATGAGGGGGGAGAGAGTTCCAGAGATGAGGGGGGAGAGAGTTCCAGAGATGAGGGGGGAGAGAGTTCCAGAGATGAGGGGGAGAGTTTCCAGAGAGGGGGTTCCAGAGATGAGGGGGGAGAGAGTTCCAGAGTTGAGGGGGCAGAGAGTTCCAGAGATGAGAGGGGGAGAGAGTTCCAGAGATGAGGGGGAGAGAGTTCCAGAGATGAGGGGGGAGAGAGTTCCAGAGATGAGGGGGGAGAGAGTTCCAGAGATGAGGGGGGAGAGAGTTTCCAGAGATGAGGGGGGAGAGAGTTCCAGAGATGAGGGGGGAGAGAGTTCCAGAGATGAGAGGGGAGAGAGTTCCAGAGATGAGGGGGGAGAGAGTTCCAGAGATGAGGGGGGAGAGAGTTCCAGAGATGAGGGGGGAGAGAGTTCCAGAGATGAGGGGGGAGAGAGTTCCAGAGATGAGGGGGAGAGAGTTCCAGAGATGAGGGGGAGAGAGTTCCAGAGATGAGGGGGAGAGAGTTCCAGAGATGAGGGGGAGAGAGTTCCAGAGATGAGGGGGAGAGAGTTCCAGAGATGAGGGGGGAGAGAGTTCCAGAGATGAGGGGGGAGAGAGTTCCAGAGATGAGGGGGAGAGAGTTCCAGAGATGAGGGGGGAGAGAGTTCCAGAGATGAGGGGGAGAGAGTTCCAGAGTGAGGGGGGAGAGAGTTCAGAGATGAGGGGGGGAGAGATGTTCCAGAGATGAGGGGGAGAGAGTTCCAGAGATGAGGGGGAGAGAGTTCCAGAGGTGAGTGGGAAAGAGTTCCAGAGATGAGGGGGGGAGAGAGTTCCAGAGGTGAGAGGGGAGAGAGTTCCAGAGATGAGGGGGAGAGAGTTCCAGAGGTGAGTGGGAAAGAGTTCCAGAGATGAGGGGGAGAGAGTTCCAGAGGTGAGAGGGGAGAGAGTTCCAGAGATGAGGGGGAGAGAGTTCCAGAGGTGAGAGGGGAGAGAGTTCCAGAGATGAGGGGGGAGAGAGTTCCAGAGATGAGGGGGGACGACGAGTTCCAGAGATGAGGGGGAGAGAGTTCCAGAGATGAGGGGGGAGAGAGTTCCAGAGATGAGGGGGGAGAGAGTTCCAGAGATGAGGGGGAGGAGAGAGTTCCAGAGGTGAGGGGGGAGAGAGTTCCAGAGATGAGGGGGAGAGAGTTCCAGAGGTGAGGGGGGAGAGAGTTCCAGAGATGAGGGGGGAGAGAGTTCCAGAGATGAGGGGGAGTGAGTTCCAGAGATGAGGGGGAGAGAGTTCCAGAGGTGAGTGGGAGAGAGTTCCAGAGATGAGGGGGGAGAGAGTTCCAGAGGTGAGAGGGGAGAGAGTTCCAGAGATGAGGGGGGAGAGAGTTCCAGAGATGAGGGGGGAGAGAGTTCCAGAGATGAGGGGGGAGAGAGTTCCAGAGATGAGAGGGAGAGAGTTCCAGAGATGAGGGGGAGAGAGTTCCAGAGGTGAGAGTTCCAGAGATGAGGGGGAGAGAGTTCCAGAGGTGAGGGGGGAGAGAGTTCCAGAGATGAGGGGGGAGAGAGTTCCAGAGATGAGGGGGAGAGAGTTCCAGAGATGAGGGGGAGAGAGTTCCAGAGGTGGTGAGTGGGAGAGAGTTCCAGAGATGAGGGGGGAGAGAGTTCCAGAGGTGAGAGGGGAGAGAGTTCCAGAGATGAGGGGGGAGAGAGTTCCAGAGATGAGGGGGGAGAGAGTTCCAGAGATGAGGGGGGAGAGAGTTTCCAGAGATGAGGGGGGAGAGAGTTCCAGAGATGAGAGGGAGAGAGTTCCAGAGATGAGGGGGAGAGAGTTCCAGAGGTGAGTGGGAGAGAGTTCCAGAGATGAGGGGGGAGAGTTCCAGAGATGAGGGGGAGAGAGTTCCAGAGATGAGGGGGGAGAGAGTTCCAGAGATGAGGGGGGGAGAGAGTTCAGAGATGAGGGGGAGAGAGTTCCAGAGATGAGGGGGGAGAGAGTTCCAGAGATGAAGGGGGGAGAGAGTTCCATGAGTGGGAGCAGAGATGGCGAAAGGGTCGGTGCCTGGATTTAACGGTGGGAGTGAGGAGAGTCCGCAGATCGGAGTGGACGGGAGGGACTGTCGGGCTGTAGAAGTTCAGTGAGGTCTGGAGGGGGTTATTGAGGGGGTCATGGAGGGCTTTGTCGGTGATGAGGAGGATTTTGATGGGAGCCAGTGGAGTCTATGAAGGACAGGGGTGATGTGTTCTCTGGAGCGGGTCTGAGTGATGAGGCGGGCGGCAGATCCGACTTCTTGTCTCGAGCCCATTGTCCCACTCTCCTCTAACATTGTTCTGTTCTGGTTCTTTTTTTTGACATATTGCTCTAATTTCGGGCGCTGTTGCCTCCGACATCACGGTTCAAGAGGTCTCCCGATGACAGCGCTCACGTCTGGGCTTCTCTCCGCCGTGCAGCTCTCAACCACCCTTTAACCACCGATATTATCCCTCAATATATTTAATCGCTGTGTCCTGAATGATTTATTGGTCTGACAGAGTGCGGCGCCTGCTCTGTGCACGATTGGGAGCCGTTATTCTCCTCCAGCTCCAGATGATAAAGGAAAAGCTCGTTCATTTATAGCTTTGAAAAACGCGAATAGGATTGTGGACGCTCTCTGCCACTCTGAGTATTTCGTGCGTCGTTGCCAACTCAGTCTCTCTGCAATTTCCACCAGATTCCAGTAAGTGCGGCCTGACAGCTTTCCTGGGCTTAACGGGAAAAACTGTCTTTAGGGTGCAAGATTATAACCTCAGAAACCACTGGTCAATGGAAAAGTCTTAATCCACTCACACGCCGACCACTCCTGGGTGTTATGTTGGCGCTGTAATGTTATGGAAGAGGCCATTTTGGACCAAAAACAAATAAATTGAAGGAGGAATGAAATAAATGCCCCGAGGAGCAGAGCGAGGGCATGTTGTTCCACGGTCGCATTTCGTCAGTGTCCCACGGATTCTCAGCCAACGTATCTACAGAAGAGTTTAGTGTCACTTGAATTACTGTGTATGCGGGCCTCCATTCCAGTCAATGTATTTGTGTGAAACCCTGAATTACAGCAGCAGTCGATTTGAAGTCTGTAGATCCAGGACTGAGGCTGTAGATCCAGGACTGAGGACTGAGGCTGTAGACCCAGGACTGAGGCTGTAGATCCAGGACTGAGGCTTTAGATCCAGGACTGAGGCTGTAGATCCAGGACTGAGGCTGTAGACCCAGGACTGAGGCTGTAGATCCAGGACTGAGGCTGTAGACCCAGGACTGAGGCTGTAGATCCAGGACTGAGGCTGTAGATCCAGGACTGAGGCTGTAGACCCAGGACTGAGGCTGTAGACCCAGGACTGAGGCTGTAGACCCAGGACTGAGGCTGTAGACCCAGGACTGAGGCTGTAGACCCAGGACTGAGGCTGTAGATCCAGGACTGAGGCTGTAGACCCAGGACTGAGGCTTGTAGACCCAGGACTGAGGCTGTAGACCCAGGACTGAGGCTGTAGATCCAGGACTGAGGCTGTGGACCCAGGACTAAGGCTGTAGATCCAGGACTGAGGCTGTAGATCCAGGACTAAGGCTGTACATCCTTAAATGAAGTAAACAGCCTCAGTCTTCAATGTGTGTATGTGTGTATGTGTGTCACCCACATCTACACACACACAGTTGTGTGTGTGTCTTCAATGTGTGTATGTGTGTGTGTGTGTGTGTGTGTGTGTGTGTGTGTGTGTGTGTGTGTTGTGTGTGTGTGTGTGCGTGTGTGTGTGTGTGTGTGTGTGTGTGTGTGTGTGTGTGCGTGTGTGTATCTGGACTGAAGGCCCGCATGTGTGGTCCAGTATCAGGATACAAACTCATCAGTCCTGTTTGTCAGCGCCTCTGCAGCAGGAGCAGCAGCAGCAGGAGCAGCAGCAGGAGGAGCAGGAGCAGCAGCAGCAGGAGGAGCAGCAGCAGGAGGAGCAGCAGCAGGAGGAGCAGGAGCAGCAGCAGCAGGAGGAGCAGCAGCAGGAGGAGCAGGAGCAGCAGCAGCAGGAGGAGCAGCAGCAGGAGGAGCAGCAGTAGGAGGAGCAGCAGGAGGAGCAGCAGCAGGAGCAGCAGCAGGACACTGATGGCGTCTGACAGAGCTGACCCTCCTGACCATGAATAATGCCACTGTCTCTATCTGTTTCCTTTGCTCTGGAAGCTTCTGTCTGTGCCTCTCTCCGGACGCCAGGAGAGACCCAACTGCCCGGTCTGATTCAAACCCGGGCGTTTAGATACAATCGCATTAAAACAAACCGAATGAACAGAGCTATTGTCAGAGTGTATCGTTGAGTTGAGTGTTATGTTTATGAGTTTAGTTTAGTTTAGTTTATTTGTTTATTTGAGCAATACACATTGTGCTCAAATGGAGTGGGCTGAAGCAAAAAGCTTATGAGCCCCCACCCCCAAGTGCAATACATAAAAAAAGAACATTTCAAAACATTTCAAGCAGCTACATTCGTACAGACCAAATTACAACAAGCAACAAAAATGTATTAACTCTTTATATAATTAATTGGAACAACGCACAGCTACAACAACAATCTAGTTTCATATACGATGTCTAGAACAAAGCAAGTCAAAAAATGTGTTATGGAGCTTTCGCGAAAGTTCACCGTGGTAGACCCGGCTGTGCTGCCAGGCCACAGGCTGCTCTTCCTCGACTCATCAATACCAGCAACGCCCACACACAGTCAACCAATAACCACCAGGACAGCAAGTTAAAAGCCGGAGACGCCCATTTCCCGGTCTTCTGAAGTCTGCAAACTTCTGAAGCCTGCAAGGTGCATGTCGCTAACGCACCTGTTCGCAAATGCATGCGTTGTTCTGGAGGGGTCGCTTCTGCTCACGTGTTGCTCGTGCGCGTGGCCCGGCTGTCCTCAGTCTGGCTGCTCGTGGTCTGCTCCTCCTCCGCGTCCCTGCACCTGCTGTGGTTCGCATATCCCCACTGCTCTCCTCCTCTGCGGGCTCTTCTGCGGGCTGCTCCGCGGGGCCCCTCCGCGGTTCTGTGCTGCTCGTTCCTCGTGGTCTGCTGCCGCGTGCAGACGGTCTGGCGGTGCCGTGCGTGTCCCTGCCTCCGATTGGCGGTGCCGCGTTGTCCCGTTGCTTTCCCAAGTCTCCTGGCATGTGAGTACAGTGAGTGTGCTGACCGCGGACAGATTAATCCCGGAGTCTAGGCTGCAGGCGGCTGGTTTTTGCCCTGCGCACTGGACTGCAGGCGTCAGTTTTCGCCCCGTGCTTGGTCTGCAGGCTCCGTTTTACACGTGTTGAGCTAACTGAGGGGCAATGCATATTAAATGGCATCAATCTCCAATGTCTGAGGGATATAAGAGGAGCAATGTGCATTAATTCAGATTCATGTTCTGCCACTCGCAGTAAAACCACGTTGGAAAAAATGTGCAAAGACTACCCCATCGTGCTCCAGACGGCACACACAGAGCTCTTGCCACAGCGCCATTTTACAGCATCAATCTCATTACTCGCAAGTCACTATTGTTAAATGAATGTATTTAAATTCGTCTATCTGCAGGAGGAAGGAGGGGCCATGCATTTAAATAGCTAGGTCACTAGTATTAAACTGGGTAACTAAACTGCAGTTGTTGCATTTCGAAAGTGCAGCAGAAAGAAAAGGGGCCCAATGTGAATATGCAATGGGTTTGAAGTGGAGCTGGAGCTAATGAACGCATGGATCAGTGATCGTTCATGCGTTCTACCATAACCAAAGCAGCAAGATGGCTCCAGGGGACATCTGTTTCTCGCATGGGAATGTTTCAGATTCGGGTTGAATTATTTCCTCAGGCTCTTAAACAACCGTGGGCATGGTTTTCTGACCGCCGCTGCTGCGGTCCCTGCTGCCGTTCCTACTGATGCCTGATCCCGCTGCTGCCTATTCCTGCTGCTGCCTGTCCCGGCTGCCTGCTCCTGCTGCTCCTACTACTACATGTGCCGCTGCGCTGTTCCTGCCGCTGCCGCTCCGCAGGCTCCCAGGCTGCACCTGTCTCTACGGCTCGGCTCTTCAGACACGTACGTAACCTGGCTCACGGAGACAAGCGGCGCACGTTGGCGTGACACGTCTGTTGTTCGTATGAATCGCATTGTGCTGCTGCTACTGCTGCCGCTACTGCTGCTATTGCTGCCGCTGCTGCTTCATACTGCCACCGCTTCCGTGCTGCTGCTGCTTCATGTACTTTGACATCTCTCTTCACTTCGCATCTCTTTTACTGAAACACTAAACAGCTACAACAATATTCTACTGCTTGGCTTTGATACAGGATTATTGCTGCTATTATCGACGGATGCTGCAGCTGCTGCTGCTTTATACTGCTACCGCTGCTGCTGCCTCATACTGCTACTGCTGCTGCTTCATACTGCTACTGCTACTGCTGCTGCTTCATACGGCTACTGCTGCTACTACTGCTGCTGCTGCTTCATTTACTTTGCCATCTCTCTTCACTTCGCATCTCTTTTACTGAAACCCTGAACAGCTACAACAACATTCTACTGCTGTGGCTTTGATACAGAATTATTACTGTTATTTTCTAAGGACGCTGCTGCTGCTGCTGCTGCTGCTGCTACTGCTGCTGCCGCGGCTTGATACAGGACTTTTGCTGTTATTATCTGAGGCTACTGCTGCTGCCGCTGCTGCTACTGCTACTGCAACCCACTCTCTCAGAAGCTTATCCTGCTTCTAATGGACGCAGCCCGGCTGAGTATGCCGCGCTGGACTCGCACCTATGCTCCCAGGGTCGCTTCGGCGGTCGTGCTTCATCTCTCTACTGAATCTTCTGATTCTATCAGATGCAGCTGGCCGAGTAGCTGCGCTGAGCCGTCTATCGGACTCCTAATCAAAGGCATCCATACCTGTATTCTTCACTCTTCTGATCACAGGCTCCCCATCATGCTGCCCATCTGCAGCGGCTCTGAGCGGCACTGAACTCCGGCTCATCTTCCAAGTACATGTCTGCCCTCCTCGCAGCATCTTCTGCTCGCCTTCTGTGGCTTCTCTGCATAAGCGTTTCACCACTGCTCACTCAACCTTCAATGCGGTCCGAGACACGGCTTTTCCCATCCTATCCTACTGGCCTAATTATCTACTCTCCAACCCAAGATTCTGAGCGTAAGGGCGCCTGCAACATCAATGGCCCTCTCCGGTGTGTCTCTCTGCCCCTACAGGTCTCCGCTTCTACACGGACGCGGCCCCTTCCGTGGGTTTTTGGGGGATTCTTCCAGGACCAGTGGTTCGCCGGCCGTGGCCCGCTACTTTCCCCGGAGCATTTCCTCTGCCCTACACGAGACATTCCCAGTGGTCGTGGCCTGCGCGCTGCGGAATCACACGTGGCAGAGAAAGAGGATCTCTGTCATGCGTGATCATCTCGACGTAGTGGAAGCATTAAACAAAGGTCGCTCTTCTCACCCAACATAATGTCCCCTGACCATTCAACCTTCATCTCAAACATTCAAAGATCAGAGGCGCCTGCAACACAATATAGCTCGCTTCGACACATCTCTCTGCCCCTACAGGTCCATGATGCGTTACACTCGCCTCCGCGGCAAAAAGGAGATTTTAACGGACCTCTAATTCTCACTCCAGTCAACCTTCCCATAACAGCAACTGGTTCAGAGCTCAGCTAAGATCCCTACTGCGCCTCTGCAATTTGTCTCCCCAGCTCTATACAGCCCACTCCTTCAGGATAGGCGCTGCCACGCGCGCGACCTCGCTGGGGCTCCCCCACTCTTCTCTGCAACAGCTGGGGCGCTGGTCCTCTTCGGCTTCTCCACCTACATCAGGCCAGATGCGACCGCTATCATGGCAGCACAACGTCTACCGGCTTCCTTGTAAGCTCCCAGCAAAGCAAGTAAGCAATAAGATTCTGGTGGCGGCACGCACTTTCCTCAAACGCTCAAAGATTCCTCTGCTTCAGCGTCTGGCTGAATATGAGCGTGCGCTCATATTCTCAGCTCGCTCAAAGATTCCTCTGCTGCGGCTGGCTGAACATGCGCGTGCGCGCATGTTCTCAGCTCGCTCAAAGATTCCCCTGCTGCGGCTGGCTGAACATGCGCGTGCGCGCATGTTCTCAGTTCGCTCAAAGATTCCTCTGCTACAGCGGCTGGCTGAACATGCGCGTGCGCGCATGTTCTCAGCTCGCTCATGCTCTCAGGCCCGCGCAGTGCGTCCTGCTATCCCAATCGCAGGCCCGCTTTTTGGGGATCATGCACGCGAGCAAGCGCCGTGCTCAACAGCATCCCGCCCGGGCCTAGGGCGCCAAACATGCTCAATCAATAAACATGCTTAAAATCTAATAAGTCTAATGCGTTTTCCTCATGGGTCTCTCCAAGGTGAAATGGAGCTTTCGCGAAAGTTCACCGTGGTAGACCCGGCTGTGCTGCCAGGCCACAGGCTGCTCTTCCTCGACTCATCAATACCAGCAACGCCCACACAGTCAACCAATAACCACCAGGACAGCAAGTTAAAAGCCGGAGACGCCCATTTCCCGGTCTTCTGAAGTCTGCAAGCCGCCGCCGCCCCACCTCCTCCTTCTCTCATGAAGCGTGCTTGCCTACTGCCTCTGCCGTCACCAGTGCCTAGGCCCCGGGGGGATTATGCACGCGAGCAAGCGCCGTGCTCAACAGCATCCCGCCCGGGCCTAGGGCGCCAAACATGCTCAATCAATAAACATGCTTAAAGGAATAGTTCACCGTTTTTACATACTGACATATGTTCTTACCTTACCTTAGACTAGTTAATACGTACCTGTGTGATCTTAGTCCGTGCGCTCTGTCATGCAAACGGAGCAAAAACGGGAGGACAAATGCAGCCTCCTCTGGTCACTGTGTAGCACCAAAAGGTAGCTCCCGCTAGAAGCTACCAAACTCTTCCAAGTGTTCCCTATTAAATGTATATAGTTACGTGACGTGTTACACTGCAAAGTATAGTAACATAGAAATGTAACTGTCGATTTTCTCAGCGGATAAAACGGGTACTATATTGTGAGGCGTAGTAATCTGAGGTGCGCTACGTCCGCGCACTAACTTCTCTCCGGAGACTTCTCTCTCGCTCACTTCCGTCAATAGAAGCAGCGTGACTTGTAGTACAGAGAGAAGTTAGTGCGCGGACGTAGCGCACCTCAGATTACTACGCCTCACAATATAGTACCCGTTTTATCCGCTGAGAAAATCAACAGTTACATTTCTGTGTTACTATACTTTGCAGTGTAACACGTCACGTAACTATATACATTTAATAGGGAACACTTGGAAGAGTTTGGTAGCTTCTAGCGGGAGCTACCTTTTGGTGCTACACAGTGACCAGAGGAGGCTGCATTTGTCCTCCCGTTTTTGCTCCGTTTGCATGACAGAGCGCACGGACTAAGATCACACAGGTACGTATTAACTAGTCTAAGGTAAGGTAAGAACATATGTCAGTATGTAAAAACGGTGAACTATTCCTTTAAGACACGGCGCTTGCTCGCGTGCATGATCCCCCCGGGGCCTAGGCACTGGTGACGGCAGAGGCAGTAGGCAAGCACGCTTCATGAGAGAAGGAGGAGGTGGGGCGGCGGCGGCTTGCAGACTTCAGAAGATAGGGAAGTGGGCGTCTCCGGCTTTTAACTTGCTGTCCTGGTGGTTATTGGTTGACTGGGTGTGGGCGTTGCTGGTATTGATGAGTCGAGGAAGAGCAGCCTGTGGCCTGGCAGCAACAGCCGGGTCTACCACGGTGAACTTTCGCGAAAGCTCCATTTCACCTTGGAGAGACCCATGAGTAAAACGCATTAGACTTATTAGATTTAAGCATGTTTATTGATTGAGCATGTTTGGCGCCCTAGGCCCGGGCGGGATGCTGCAGCACGGCGCTTGCTCGCCTGGCATGATCCCCAAAAAGCGGGCCTGCGATTGGGATAGCAGGACGCACTGCGCGCGGCCTGAGAGCATGAGCGAGCTGAGAACATGCGCGCACCCGCATGTTTCATCCCGCGCATGGCTGAGAACATCATCCTTTGAGCCGCTGTAGCCGAGCCGAAGAGAATCTTTGAGCGAACTGAGAACATGCGCGCACGCGCATGTTCAGGCGGATGCTCATACCATCCGCAGCAGAGGAATCTTTGAGCGAACTCATGCGCGCACGCGCATGTTCAGCAGCCGCAGCAGGGAATCTTTGAGCGAACTGAGAACATGCGCGCACTGCGCATGTTCAGCCAGCCGCAGCAGAGGAATCTTTGAGCGAGCTGAGAATATGAGCGCACGCTCATATTCAGCCAGACGCTGAAAGCAAGGAATCTTTGAGCGTTTGAGGAAAGTGCGTGCCGCCACCAGAATCTTATTGCTTACTTGCTTTGCTGGGAGCTTACGAGGAAGCCGGTTAGAAAACGTTGTGCTGCAGATGATAGCGGTCGCATCTGGCCTGATGTAGGTGGAGAAGCCGAAGAGGACCAGCGCCCCAGCTGTTGCAGAGAAGAGTGGGGGAGCCCCAGCGAGGTCGCGCGCGTGGCAGCGCCTATCCTGAAGGAGTGGGCTGTATAGAGCTGGGGAGACAAATTGCAGAGGAGCAGTAGGGATCTTAGCTGAGCTCTGAACCTGTTGCTGTTATGGGAAGGTTGACTGGAGTGAGAATTAGAGGTCCGTTAAAATCTCCTTTTTGCCGCGGAGGCGAGTGTAACGCATCATGGACCTGTAGGGGCAGAAAGGGAAAAGATGTGTCGAAGCGAGCTATATTGTGTTGCAGGCGCCTCTGATCTTTGAATGTTTGAGATGAAGGTTGAATGGTCAGGGGACATTATGTTGGGTGAGAAGAGCGACCTTTGTTTTAATGCTTCCACTACGTCGAGATGATCACGCATGACAGAGATCCTCTTTCTCTGCCACGTGTGATTCCGCAGCGCGCAGGCCACGACCAACTGGAATGTCTCGTGTAGGGCAGAGGAAAATGCTCCGGAGGAAAGTAGCGGGGGGGCCACGGCCGGCGAACCACTGGTCCTGGAAGAATCCCCCAAAAACCCACGGAAGGGGCAGCGTCCGTGCTAGAAGCGGAGACCTGTAGGGGCAGAGAGACACACCGGAGAGGGCCATTGATGTTGCAGGCCGCCCTTACGCTTAGAATCTTGGGTTGGAGAGTAGATAATTAGGCCAGTAGGATAGGACGGGAAAAGCCGTGTCTCGGACCGCATTGAAGGTTGAGTGAGCAGTGGTGAAACGCTTATGCAGAGAAGCCACAGAAGGCGAGCAGAAGATGCTGCGAGGAGGGCAGACATGTACTTGGAAGATGAGCCGGAGTTCAGTGCCGCTCAGAGCCGCTGCAGGATGGGCAGCATGATGGGGAGCCTGTGATCAGAAGAGTGAAGAATACAGGTATGGATGCCTTTGATTAGGAGTCCGATTGACGGCTCAGCGCAGCTACTTGGCCAGCTGCATCTGATAGAATCAGAAGATTCAGTAGAGAGATGAAGCACGACCGCCGAAGCGACCCTGGGAGCATAGGTGCGAGTCCGGCGCAGCGCGGCATACTCAGCCGGGCTGCATCCATTAGAAGCAGGATAAGCTTCTGAGAGAGTGGGTTGCAGTAGCAGTAGCAGCAGCGGCAGCAGCAGTAGCCTCAGATAATAACAGCAAAAGTCCTGTATCAAGCCGCGGCAGCAGCAGTAGCAGCAGCAGCAGCAGCAGCAGCGTCCTTAGAAAATAACAGTAATAATTCTGTATCAAAGCCACAGCAGTAGAATGTTGTTGTAGCTGTTCAGGGTTTCAGTAAAAGAGATGCGAAGTGAAGAGAGATGGCAAAGTAAATGAAGCAGCAGCAGCAGTAGTAGCAGCAGTAGCAGTATGAAGCAGCAGCAGCAGTAGCAGTATGAAGCAGCAGCTGCAGCATCCGTGATAATAGCAGCATAATCCTGTATCAAGCCAGAGCATAGATATGTTGTACTGTTTAGTGTTTCAGTAAAGAGATGCGAGTGAAGAGAGTCAAGTACATGAAGCAGCAGCAGCTGCAGCAGATGCAGTATGAAGCAGCAGCAGCATAGCAGCAGTACGTAGCAGCATGAGCAGCAGCAGCAGCAGCGTTGCAGCATCCGTAGATAATAACAGCAATAATCCTGTATCAAAGCCACCGCAGTAGCAGTAGTAGGAGCAGCAGGAGCAGGCAGCAGGGACAGGCAGCAGCAGGAGCGGCAGCAGGAATAGGCAGCAGCGGGATCAGGCATCAGTAGGAACGGCAGCAGGGACCGCAGCAGCGGCGGTCAGAGAACCATGCCCACGGTTGTTTAAGAGCCTGAGGAAATAAATCAACCCGAATCCGAAACATTCCCATGCGAGAAACAGATGTCCCCTGGAGCCATCTTGCTGCTTTGGTTATGGTAGAACGCATGAACGATCACTGATCCATGCGTTTATTAGCTCCAACTCCACTTCAAACCCATTGCAGATTCACATTGGGCCCCTTTTCTTTCTGCTGCACTTTCGAAATGCAACAACTGCAGTTTAGTTACCCAATTTAATACTAGTGACCCAGCTATTTAAATGCATGGCCCCTCCTTCCTCCTGCAGATAGACGAATTTAAATACATTCATTTAACAATAGTGACCTGCGAGTAATGAGATTGATGCTGTAAAGATGGCGCCGTGGCAAGAGCTCTGTGTGTGCCGTCTGGAGCACGATGGGGTAGTCTTTGCACATTTTTTCCAACGTGGTTTTACTGCAAGTGGCAGAACATGAATCTGAATTAATGCACATTGCTCCTCTTATATCCCTCAGACGATAGAGATTGATGCCATTTAAGATGCATTGTCCCTCAGTTAGCTCAAACACGTGTAAAACGGAGCCTGCAGACCAAGCACGGGGCGAAAACTAACGCCTGCAGTCAAGTGCGTAGGGCAAAAACCAGCCGCCTGCAGCCTAGACTCCGGGATTAATCTGTCCGCGGTCGGCACACTCACTGTACTCACATGCCAGGAGACTTGGGAAAGCAACGGGACAACGCGGCACCGCCAATCGGAGGCAGGGACACGCACGGCACCGCCAGACCGTCTGCGCGCGGCAGCAGACCACGAGGAACGAGCAGCACAGAACCGCGGAGGGGCCCCGCGGAGCAGCCCGCAGAAGAGCCCGCAGAGGAGGAGAGCAGTGGGGATATGCAAACCACAGCAGGTGCAGGGACGCGGAGGAGGAGCAGACCACGAGCAGCCAGACTGAGGACAGCCGGGCCACGCGCACGAGCAACACGTGAGCAGAAGCGACCCCTCCAGAACAACGCAGCATTTGCGAACAGGTGCGTTAGCGACATGCACCTTGCCAGGCTTCAGAAGTTTGCAAACTTCAGAAGACCGGGAAGTGGGCGTCTCCGGCTTTTAACTTGCTGTCCTGGTGGTTATTGGTTGACTGGGTGTGGGCGTTGCTGGTATTGATGAGTCGAGGAAGAGCAGCCTGTGGCCTGGGCAGCAGCAGCCGGGTCTACCACGGTGAACTTTCTACCACGGTGAACTTTCGCGAAAGCTCCATATTGCTCAAATAAACAAATAAACTAAACTAAACTAAACTCATAAACATAACACTCAACTCAACGATACACTCTGACAATAGCTCTGTTCATTCGGTTTGTTTTAATGCGATTGTATCTAAACGCCCGGGTTTGAATCAGACCGGGCAGTTGGGTCTCTCCTGGCGTCCGGAGAGAGGCACAGACAGAAGCTTCCAGAGCAAAGGAAACAGATAGAGACAGTGGCATTATTCATGGTCAGGAGGGTCAGCTCTGTCAGACGCCATCAGTGTCCTGCTGCTGCTCCTGCTGCTGCTCCTCCTGCTGCTCCTCCTACTGCTGCTCCTCCTGCTGCTGCTCCTCCTGCTGCTGCTGCTCCTGCTCCTCCTGCTGCTGCTCCTCCTGCTGCTGCTGCTCCTGCTCCTCCTGCTGCTGCTCCTCCTGCTGCTGCTCCTCCTGCTGCTGCTGCTCCTGCTCCTCCTGCTGCTGCTCCTGCTGCTGCTGCTCCTGCTGCAGAGGCGCTGACAAACAGGACTGATGAGTTTGTATCCTGATACTGGACCACACATGCGGGCCTTCAGTCCAGATACACACACGCACACACACACACACACACACACACACACACACACACACGCACACACACACACACACACACACACACACACACACACACACACACACACACACACACACACACACACACACACATACACACATACACACATTGAAGACTGAGGCTGTTTACTTCATTTAAGGATGTGTTGAGTTTAGAGACAGCTCACCTCGTCTCAACTGTGTGTGTGTAGATGTGGGTGACTGTGTGTGTCCATTTGTGTGTGTGTAGATGTGGGTGACTGTGTGTGTCCATTTGTGTGTGTGTGTTAGGCAAGTAGGTTTATTTGTAAAGCACAATTCATACACAAGGCAACTCAAAATGCTGAACAGAATAAGATATGTGATTAAGTGTGTGTGTCCATTTGTATGTTTGTATCTGTGTGTCTGTCAGTCAGTTCTGGGTCTACAGCCTCAGTCCTGGGTCTACAGCCTCAGTCCTAAATCTACAGCCTTAGTCCTGGATCTACAGCCTCAGTCCTGGATCTACAGCCTTAGTCCTGGGTCCACAGCCTCAGTCCTGGATCTACAGCCTCAGTCCTGGGTCTACAGCCTCAGTCCTGGGTCTACAGCCTCAGTCCTGGGTCTACAGCCTCAGTCCTGGATCTACAGCCTCAGTCCTGGGTCTACAGCCTCAGTCCTGGGTCTACAGCCTCAGTCCTGGGTCTACAGCCTCAGTCCTGGGTCTACAGCCTCAGTCCTGGGTCTACAGCCTCAGTCCTGGATCTACAGCCTCAGTCCTGGATCTACAGCCTCAGTCCTGGGTCTACAGCCTCAGTCCTGGATCTACAGCCTCAGTCCTGGGTCTACAGCCTCAGTCCTGGATCTACAGCCTCAGTCCTGGATCTAAAGCCTCAGTCCTGGATCTACAGCCTCAGTCCTGGGTCTACAGCCTCAGTCCTCAGTCCTGGATCTACAGCCTCAGTCCTGGATCTACAGACTTCAAATCGACTGCTGCTGTAATTCAGGGTTTCACACAAATACATTGACTGGAATGGAGGCCCGCATACACAGTAATTCAAGTGACACTAAACTCTTCTGTAGATACGTTGGCTGAGAATCCGTGGGACACTGACGAAATGCGACCGTGGAACAACATGCCCTCGCTCTGCTCCTCGGGGCATTTATTTCATTCCTCCTTCAATTTATTTGTTTTTGGTCCAAAATGGCCTCTTCCATAACATTACAGCGCCAACATAACACCCAGGAGTGGTCGGCGTGTGAGTGGATTAAGACTTTTCCATTGACCAGTGGTTTTCTGAGGTTATAATCTTGCACCCTAAAGACAGTTTTTCCCGTTAAGCCCAGGAAAGCTGTCAGGCCGCACTTACTGGAATCTGGTGGAAATTGCAGAGAGACTGAGTTGGCAACGACGCACGAAATACTCAGAGTGGCAGAGAGCGTCCACAATCCTATTCGCGTTTTTCAAAGCTATAAATGAACGAGCTTTTCCTTTATCATCTGGAGCTGGAGGAGAATAACGGCTCCCAATCGTGCACAGAGCAGGCGCCGCACTCTGTCAGACCAATAAATCATTCAGGACACAGCGATTAAATATATTGAGGGATATATCGGTGGTTAATGGGTGGTTGAGAGCTGGCACGGCGGAGAGAAGCCCAGACGTGAGCGCTGTCATCGGGAGACCTCTTGAACCGTGATGTCGGAGGCAACAGCGCCCGAAATTAGAGCAATATGTCAAAAAAAAGAACCAGAACAGAACAATGTTAGAGGAGAGTGGGACAATGGGCTCGAGACAAGAAGTCGGATCTGCCGCCCGCCTCATCACTCAGACCCGCTCCAGAGAACACATCACCCCTGTCCTTCATAGACTCCACTGGCTCCCATCAAAATCCTCCTCATCACCGACAAAGCCCTCCATGACCCCCTCAATAACCCCCTCCAGACCTCACTGAACTTCTACAGCCCGACAGTCCCTCCCGTCCACTCCGATCTGCGGACTCTCCTCACTCCCACCGTTAAATCCAGGCACCGACCCTTTCGCCATCTCTGCTCCCACTCATGGAACTCTCTCCCCCCTTCATCTCTGGAACTCTCTCCCCCCTCATCTCTGGAACTCTCTCCCCCCTCATCTCTGGAACTCTCTCCCCCCTCATCTCTGGAACTCTCTCCCCCCTCATCTCTGGAACTCTCTCCCCCTCATCTCTGGAACTCTCTCCCCCCTCATCTCTGGAACTCTCTCCCACTCACCTCTGGAACTCTCTCCCCCTCATCTCTGGAACTCTCTCCCTCTCATCTCTGGAACTCTCTCCCCCCTCATCTCTGGAACTCTCTCCCCCCTCATCTCTGGAACTCTCTCCCCCCTCATCTCTGGAACTCTCTCCCCCCTCATCTCTGGAACTCTCTCCCCTCTCACCTCTGGAACTCTCTCCCCCCTCATCTCTGGAACTCTCTCCCACTCACCTCTGGAACTCTCTCCCCCTCATCTCTGGAACTCTCTCCCCCTCATCTCTGGAACTCTCTCCCCCCTCATCTCTGGAACTCTCTCCCCCCTCACCTCTGGAACTCTCTCCCCCTCATCTCTGGAACTCTCACCTCTGGAACTCTCTCCCCCTCATCTCTGGAACTCTCTCCCTCTCATCTCTGGAACTCTCTCCCCCCTCATCTCTGGAACTCTCTCCCCCCTCATCTCTGGAACTCTCTCCCCCCTCATCTCTGGAACTCTCTCCCCTCTCACCTCTGGAACTCTCTCCCCCCTCATCTCTGGAACTCTCTCCCACTCACCTCTGGAACTCTCTCCCCCTCATCTCTGGAACTCTCTCCCCCTCATCTCTGGAACTCTCTCCCCCCTCATCTCTGGAACTCTCTCCCCCCTCACCTCTGGAACTCTCTCCCCCTCATCTCTGGAACTCTCTCCCCCCTCACCTCTGGAACTCTCTCCCCCTCATCTCTGGAACTCTCTCCCCCCTCATCTCTGGAACTCTCTCCCCCCTCATCTCTGGAACTCTCTCCCCCCTCATCTCTGGAACTCTCTCCCCCCTCATCTCTGGAACTCTCTCCCCCCTCATCTCTGGAACTCTCTCCCCTCTCACCTCTGGAACTCTCTCCCCCTCATCTCTGGAACTCTCTCCCCTCTCACCTCTGGAACTCTCTCCCCCCCTCATCTCTGGAACTCTTTCCCACTCACCTCTGGAACTCTCTCCCCCTCATCTCTGGAACTCTCTCCCCTCTCACCTCTGGAACTCTCTCCCCCCTCATCTCTGGAACTCTTTCCCACTCACCTCTGGAACTCTCTCCCCCTCATCTCTGGAACTCTCTCCCCCTCATCTCTGGAACTCTCTCCCCCCTCATCTCTGGAACTCTCTCCCCCCTCACCTCTGGAACTCTCTCCCCCTCATCTCTGGAACTCTCTCCCCCCTCATCTCTGGAACTCTCTCCCCCTCATCTCTGGAACTCTCTCCCCCCTCATCTCTGGAACTCTCTCCCCCCTCATCTCTGGAACTCTCTCCCCCTCATCTCTGGAACTCTCTCCCCCTCATCTCTGGAACTCTCTCGCCCCTCATCTCTGGAACTCTCTCCCCCCTCATCTCTGGAACTCTCTCCCCCTCATCTCTGGAACTCTCTCCCCCCTCATCTCTAACTCTCTCCCCCCTCATCTCTGGAACTCTCTCCCCCCTCATCTCTGGAACTCTCTCCCCCCTCATATCTGGAACTCTCTCCCCTCTCATCTCTGGAACTCTCTCCCCCCTCATCTCTGGAACTCTCTCCCCCCTCATCTCTGGAACTCTCTCCCCCTCATCTCTGGAACTCTCTCCCCCCTCATCTCTGGAACTCTCTCCCCTCTCATCTCTGGAACTCTCTCCCCCTCATCTCTGGAACTCTCTCCCCTCTCATCTCTGGAACTCTCTGCCCCCTCAACTCTGGAACTCTCTCCCCCCTCATCTCTGGAACTCTTGTCCCCCTCATCTCTGGAACTCTCTCCCCCCTCATATCTGGAACTCTCTCCCCCTCATCTCTGGAACTCTCTCCCCCCTCATCTCTGGAACTCTCTCCCCCTCATCTCTGGAACTCTCTCCCCCTCATCTCTGGAACTCTCTCCCCCTCATCTCTGGAACTCTCTCCCCTCTCATCTCTGGAACGCTCTCCCCCCTCATCTCTGGAACTCTCTCCCCCCTCATCTCTGGAACTCTCTCCCCTCTCATCTCTGGAACTCTCTCCCCCCTCATCTCTGGAACTCTCTCCCCCCTCATCTCTGGAACTCTCTCCCCCCTCATCTCTGGAACTCTCTCCCCCCTCACCTCTGGAACTCTCTCCCCCTCATCTCTGGAACTCTCTCCCCCTCATCTCTGGAACTCTCTCCCCCTCATCTCCGGAACTCTCTCCCCCCTCATCTCTGGAACTCTCTCCCCCCTCATCTCTGGAACTCTTTACCCCCTCATCTCTGGAACTCTCTCCCCCTCATCTCTGGAACTCTCTCCCCCTCATCTCTGGAACTCTCCCCCCTCACCTCTGGAACTCTCTCCCCCCTCATCTCTGGAACTCTCTCCCCTCTCATCTCTGGACCTCTCTCCCCCCTCATCTCTGGAACTCTCTCCCCCCTCATCTCTGGAACTCTCTCCCCTCTCATCTCTGGAACTCTCTCCCCCCTCACCTCTGGAACTCTCTCCCCCTCATCTCTGGAACTCTCTCCCCCCTCATCTCTGGAACTCTCTCCCCCCTCATCTCTGGAACTCTCTCCCCCCTCATCTCTGGAACTTGGACTCACTAAACTTCCAAAAACAGCTTCCTCCAAGCATACGACTCTTAGTTTCAGCTTTGTACCTTCTTTACTGCTTTTAGTTTATTAGTTTTGTGTGTCTGTCTAAACGTGTGTGTCCTGAATTGTGAAGTGTCTTTGCGTTTTTGAAAAGCGCTATATAAACCGATGTATTTATATTATTATTATTATTATGAGAAATGCAGGATTCTACCCAAAGAGCGTGGTCTTGGTCCTCGTTCATAGAGCCTGAGTCCTGGATCGACAGACTGTCCAAAGTTTCTCATTTTCTCCCTCTGGGTTTTCAGAGGTTTCATGGACGGCTCTGTGTGTTTTTCATCGTTGAATTTCTTGTGTTTGAATTGTTTGATTCTCTGATCTGTGTTAGAAAATTCAACAGTTTTGTAAAGTCCTCTTGAGATAATACTGGTGTGATTTCGGGCTGTGCAAAGTAGTCCTGTTCTGGGCACGTCCCACCGGGAGGAGACCCTGGAAGAAACAGACACGATGAAGGAATCCCCGGATGAGCTGGAGGAAGTGTGTGTGGATAGGGAAGTCTGGGCGTCTCTGCTTAGAAAAATGAAAGGAGGAATGAAGAAAAGGGCTTCTTACATAAAAAAAGACATTATTCACATTTTACAGTTAACGCAAGGCTTCTGATTGGTCGATCCTTATGGCTCACATACAGATATACAAAGACAATATACACAAAAATCAAAGCCACAAACTACTTATTTTTTTAAGTCCAACATATTGACAATGATGGAGGAGTTTACCTTTTAATGTGAGTCAATGTAGAGCAAAACTTCTCTATGAGCACTTCCCAATTCATGATTCATAAAGTTAGCGGGTTAGCATTGTCCATCCGTGTTCAGTCTATGATTCTAAACGAGAATAGCTCATGTTTAGCTCTGTCCCTGAAAGAAGCAGTTGCATCATTTCACCACTAGATGGAGACAAAGTACTGAGCACGGACTTCTCTCTGAGCTGAGACCATGATTGTCCCAACTCTGGGTCTTGTAAAAATGTGAACAAATCCGATCACAGAGGTAAGGTTTCACTTTTCTGTCTGAAAAATAATAATAAAAATAATAGTAATAATAATACATTTTATGCTACAGATGAAAACACAAAACCACGAACAACAAAACAAAGCAAAATAATCAGAAGTACAAAAATACAACATGAAGGGTTAAAAGGAAATAAAATACTTAATAGACCTGATAAAAATCTGATCTAAGCTGAGGCCCAACAGACACGGTTATGAAAACTGTTTAGAGCCAGGAACTTGTTATAAGGATTTAGGTACCCAGCTTTAGTTTATTTAACATGGTTTATTAGAACAACCAAACTCTGAGGAGCACAGGGACCGGCCTCCTGTTGGG